CTCTGGCAATGTTTTCTTTTCTTTTTTTTTAAGCCAGTATTTTAAAATAAATTATTTCCCAAAAGGTCAATTTCTATTTTCAAAAAACATCTGAGTCACTAGACATGAGAAATATTTTATCTAAAGATGCACTACAGCTCCCAGTCATTCCAAATGGGCATCCCAAGATACTGAGTTCATGAGAGAACTTGGGGATTTGGACCCTCTGGATACTTACTTGTTAAAAAAAGGTTCGATGAGTTTTGATCTGGCAGACACATGAATTTTTGGAGGGCTGAGAAAAGAACCTAATGAAGAAAAGAAGCAGGGTATTATACACAGTCACGCAGACAAAGCCCGAAAGTTCAGACAAAAATATATTTAAATCAACAGCATGGTTCAGCAAGGGTAAAAGGTATTCTTACGGGCCAAGTACCACACCACAGGTGTCCATGCTTCTTCCCTGCCTGTCCCCCACCCCACCTCCTCCAACTCCTACCTCGAAACTTTCCCACTTCTAACTGGATGAGTGGATCCCAGGGAAATGGTAGTGCTATAGAATGAATGTTTGCACCCTCTAAAAATTCATATGTTGAAGCCTAATCCCCAATATGGTGGTATCTGGAGGTGAGACCTCTGGGAGGTAATTAGGTCATGAGGGTAAGAGACCTCATGAAAGGGCTTAGTGCCCTTACGAGAAGAGACACGAGAGCTTCCTCTTTCTCTGCTCTCCACCACATGAAGACACAAAGAGAAGATGGTCATCTGCAAACCAGAAAGTGGGCTCTCATCGGACACTGGATGTGTCGGCAACTTGATCTTATACTGCCCAGCCCCCAGAGCTGTGAGAAGTAAATGCCTGTTGTTTAAGTCCCCCAGTCTACGGTAATTTGTGACAGCAGCCTGAGTTAAGACAGGGGGACAGATAAGATTCACTCTAGACCACTGTGTGTTTGACAGAAGCACATGCAGTGCATACCTAGGTAATTTGCCATGGAGATGAAGCACAGTCCTGTGATATAAGCATCGTAGCCTGCCTCGTGGAGCTGTTCAGAAGCTGTGTCATAACTTGGAAAACCTTCAGCACTTTCTAAAGAGAAAACGGAAAAAAAAAAAGTTTTTCCCAGGACATCACAAAACACTAAGGCTAGTAAGCACATTACCCTACCAAATCCAAATTGTGTTAGTATGTGCTACAGAAATATCCTAAATAAACAGAAAAAAGCTATCTATCTCTAAGTCACTCTGGACAAGACCGTACAACACAAGACAATACAGTCATGAAAATGAGGGCTTTGGTCTAGATTAGAGAAATGCCTCAGTTACATTATCAAAGGCTCAGCTGTGAGCTTCCTGTCCCATGTTGGTGGGTGCTATTTACGATCATGCACACAATCCTGCGTAACTCGCTCTGTGACAATTATTCCTCTCCTGATTGCCTTCTAAGGTAAAGAAAAAGAAATTCTTCCCTTATATATGATGATAACATCAGGACACAACAGATACTTCAGAGTGAAGATTAATAGCATGGACTCTGGAGCAAAGCTCTTACCTAGTGCTTGGTACACGGTAAATGCTCAGAAATGACTATCTATCAATACATAAAAAAACCCAAAAGATTCCAATTCATACTGACAGCTGAAATTCAATATTGTCCCCTACTATGTTTCCAAGCTTAGAAATCTAAAGAAGACATTGCAACTCCAAAAACAGATCAGAACTTGCTATAATGCTGCCCTGGGATCACAGAGATACTTCATAGCAAAGACCATTTTATAACATGATTCTTTTGTCACATAATAAACACAGATGTGAGGGGATGAAGTCTGAGAGGAGTGACCTGCTTTAGACTAAATTCTCTACCAGATACCAGAATTTTATATGGAAATAATAGGATAAAACTGTAACTCATAAATAATTATTTCTTAGAATCACTCTGGAAATGAATGTCAAGCAGGCTACTATGACACAAAAGCATGAATGAAAATCAACAAAGAAAAGGCTGTAACTTTTTATGTCAATACCATGCTCTTTAAGTAAGAATTCCTTAATCTCTGTAAGTACTAATATTGGACTTCAAACTTTAAAAAAAAAAAAAGCCTTTTACCACGGTGAACACCTAAGTAATAGCTTCTAGTTTATCACCAGCTGAAACACATTATTTCCAAAATCAATTATTTCCATTATATTGTTATAGAAAAGGTCTAGGTTTTCTTCCTTGTCTTCCCCTCACCATCCCTTTTCTTAATTGCCTTCCTGGACTATTATCCAGAAAGGGAAGCAAATAACTATAATCTTGGCTGCTTTAATACCTTGCATTATCAATTTCTAAACCATTAGTCCTATTATCAATGTCTTAAGAAGTTTTCAGACTACAGCTAATGGAATGCTAATTACAATATCAGCAGCACAATTAGGCTAACAGGACCAAGGAAGTAGCACCTGGAAGGCTCACCAAATACCTGGGTAGTGGCCAGATTTCTGCAAAACACCTCCAGCCCACAAGAAACATTCCTCCCGACTGCTGGTTTTCCTCAATGCTGCTGTTTCCACTCCCAAAACCAGCTCAAAAGGAGACAAGGATAGGGACTCTCCTTAATTTCATCTGTACACCCAGTTCTTGGGCTTTTCTGAGACAGAAAATATATTTTCTTTCTACCCCCTGCAATTAATCACCAACTCTTTGTCTCTGTTCAAACAATGCACCACAGAAAAGGACACATCAAGTTTTGAGAGAATTCCAAACGTCAGGAAATAAAAGCCTTGAAGCTTTAATTGCTAAAATTCTCAATGAATGGCTACCCCACTCTATGAACATAAAATAGATGTAGAACTGGAAGATCATCTTTATTCAGAAAACAGTAATTCAAAGCAGGGAATAAGTAAGTTAATTTAGCCAAAATCTATAAATGTGCAACATAGTTTCTAGAGCTATTTCACCTTTCTTCTACAATATACATCAATAATTACCACCAAGAGTTTGGGGGTTTTCAGGTTTGTTTAGCAGTCTTACCAACTTTAGGAGGGTTGAAAGGTGTCTCTTTTAACCGCTTTTCCAATTCTGCAAGGGATGTGTTGTTAATGATATCCTGCGAACCAGGAAGCAGAGAATTATGAGACTTCATCATCTCAGTGCAATATATAATAAAGAGATTCACTGACTGTCAGGACAGAAAAAAAAAATCTAGTACTGCCCCCTTGTGTTTTTTAAAGAAATGTAGACGTCATTATTTATTCAATGTGAAAAAGGAGAAGCAGCAAGTTTAATTTTCACCGTATGGAAAGTATAACCAAATGAAAGAAGATTTTTACAGACACATTAAATACCTGCAGACCTTTTGCCAGAAGGCTATACTGTT